TATGACATGCAGTAAGTCCGTGCTTACCTGTTCTCCATGTCACAATCAGTGGGTAAGACACCATAGGGATATTGGGGCCTTAGTGACAGACACTCAGCCTGTTTTCAATGAGTCAGTTTAAACTCAGTTTGAGAATGACCTGCCTTTCAGAGATTACGGAATTTGGGCGTGGGGTTGGGGGAGGGGGGCTGGTATAACTGTTGCAGCAATATGCATCCCACTTTCCATTATACTCTCCAGAACGAAGCCTCATCTGCTGAGTCTTTCCTGCATTTTTATGTTTTTATTTCAGATCTTCAGCTTTACCATATTTTGCTCTCATAAAAAAATGGAATTATTTGGATAGTTTTTCAAGCAGCCGGCACATGGCACAATGGCCGTTTTCTGCACTGTATCATTCTACGCGTGAACAATTAGTGTTCCTTTGTGTCATTTGTCAAATAATTAAGAAAAAGCCAGGCTGTGAATGTAGATGAAAGAATTCACGTGACTCCAATTATGGGGAGTATCTTGATGGCTTGTGCTATTGGTTGAATTTTTCAGGTATCACCCAGAGGAATACCAATCTGTGAGTTTCATATTGGATATTGGTGCAGCTGCAGATTATTGTCAAAAACTGCAGAGCAATCTGCCTCATTCTTCAAAGCTAAATAATCCCAAAGTCTCCAGAGATTGTTAGCAAGCAATGTAAAAGGTCTTCCAAATTTCAAATGGGCCAGAACAACAGGTTTCAGGAGACTCTTCAAATGTAGACTGGCTTTCAAAAGTTTCATCTTTTGCATCATCAGTTGTTCAGGAACAAGAGTTGCTATTTGTCTTGTTCTGTGTTCTCATTCTTTTTGAGTCCTCACAATGATGCAGACAGTGGCTTAGCAAGAGGGGGCAAATCCAAAGATTTTATCTTATTATGTTTAGAAGCCGCTGTATTATGTAAACTTGTAATGTTTCTTCTTTTTCACTTCCCTTGAAGTGTCCACAAAATTGATGGCTCCATAAGCTCAAGCTTATCACAACAAGCCAATGTTGCAAAGATTAAACTGTTGACATAGATTCTGAGATCCTGAAATATTGAGGTCAGCTTGACGGATGTGCAGCAGGTAACTCTAAGTTGTGAAGAGGCACTTGGATGGAGCAAGAGAAGATTGGCTTAAAGCAAGGAAAGCTGAGAACTAAAGTTGTATGTTTTCTGTGCAATTGGTAACATTGCAGACTAGATGTCAGATGAGAAAAATGCAGAAACAGGCAGGACTTAAAGCATCTTTTGGGCCCCTCATGAAAAGCAGCTGGCATTTGTGGCAGTGTTCCTCTGGCATATATGTGAGAGATTCACTTAAATGTAGAGGACCATAGATTGAATCATTTTCACACGGCCAGCCATCCCAAAACCAGCTCAGCTTTCACTCATAAGTGCAATCGAATGGTATAATTAGGATTTAAATATTGTCCTGAACACACCAGAGTTTGTCAATTCCACAATAAGTCCCTGCATTTTATCTGTCAGCAAGTTCTCATATTACCCAATATCTAACTATATTATAGGATAATGCGTGGCTGTAACTAATGTACCTCACTATGATCTGAATTAGGTTTTTTTAAAATCCTTTTAATATGATAATCACTTAATTAGGTGAGGCTGTTTATGAATCATTATTCCACTGCAGATTAATATAAAGAAAATGGTTGTGATCAGAGTTCAGGCAGCACAATTTTTTTTTCATGAAATGTTACGACATAATGAGTCACCTTCTTGCCCTAGAGAAAACATTAAACTGGCCTCCTGCCTCCTAACCTGTTACATCTAGCAGAGACTTGTCGGTGTGATATGTCTATTTCTGTTTTTACCTCTGTTTTTACAGACAGTGGAGCACCTAATGGCAGATAAGAAATGGAAGAGCTATTACAACGAAATCCCAAGGATCTGTTTATTCAAAAAGCTTCCCTCTTCTTAATAGCTCTGAAGGGAATGTGGACAAAGACACACTGGTGGGAACAGACTAAGCAAATCCATAATGCTCTAGAGAAAAGACTACTCATTGGAAAACTATAGCTGTGAGAATTCCATTATTAGGGAAATAGAAGAATTTCATAATTAGAGAAATACAGTTGAACTTTATAGTGCTGCTTTGTTAGGACGGAAAGTGTGTAAAATATTCTGGAAAGTGAACACGAAAAAGCATCTTACAGTTCATGCAAAACCAATAAATTGGGAACAGTAGAAATGAAATCTTTCCAAGGATCCTTGAGGAGTTAAGTCCTCATTAAAGTGAAAGATTACATTAGTGTTTTTAGGAGTTTGTGCCATAGTGCTCATTTCGCAGGATGAGTAATCCAGAACACCAGTATAATATTCTGAAGACATAGATATGAATTCCACAAATGCTGCTAGCAAAATTTGAATCCAATAAAATATTTGAAATTAAAAATTAGTGTAATGAAGACCATGTAGCAAATGACAGCTGTTGTAAAACCCCGTCTGGTTCATGATTGTGTTTTTGGGAAGGAAAACTGCCTTCTTCACATGGCCTGGCCTACATATGATTCCAGACCCACAGCAACACGATTGGTTGTTAACTTCACTCTGAAATGGCTAGCAAGCCAGTCAGTTGACTGCAGCAGTTCAAGAAGACAGCTCACTACCATCTTCTCGAGGGCAATTACAGATGGACAACAAATGCTGGCTGGTAGCCAGCGACGACCACATCCCACGATCAAAGAATAAAAATACTGAATCATTTACAGGCAAATAAATTTGTGGATTAATGAATGTCTAGAGAAAAGAGGTGTGCACATTTCTGGGACGTCAGAGAGTCAGTGCTCAGATAGAACAGGCTCTATCTAAACTAAATTCATGAATGCCCTTGCAGCAAAAGTGAACAGAGTAATGAAGGAGGATTAAACTGATAAGACAGTAAGGCATGTAAAAACAAAACAAACCAAGATATAATCAGTAGCAAAATGATCAGATAAGAAAAGTAATGTACTGAAAGATAGACTTAAACAATCAAAATCAAATTCACAAGGAGGTGACTGATAAAAGTTTTAAAGAACAGTAAAGATGTGGAGCCAGATGGAAGAATGGTTGATTTATTTTTTTCTTTATTCTGTCATGGGGTTGGGTATTGCTGGCAAGACCAGCATATTTGTTCTCCATTGTTAATTGTCCTTGAACTATTTGGCACTTGGCCATTTCAGAGGACAATTAAGAGTCAACACAATACGAAGGATCTGAAGGCACATGTAGGCCAGACCAGGTAGAGGTGTCAGATTTCCTTCCATAAAGGACATTAGTGAATCATATGGGTTTTTGCAACAATTAACAATGATTTCAAGGTCACCATTCCTGAAGTTAGATTTCAATCCCAGATTTGTTATTTGAATTTAAATGTCATCAGCAGCTGTGGTGGAATGAATAATGTAATGAGGAAAAAACAATTTGGTGGAAGAGACCAATGCAGCAATTAGAAACTGTCGTGTAATAAGAGTCTTTGAAGATACTTAATTCCTCATGACATACGACTGTGCAGTCAGATGACAGAGGGGACATAATGTAAAGCGAGGGATGAGAATGCATTTTGGGAAGAGAAACAAGCAATGATACATAAATTACATTCTGATTAGGGAATAGAAAAAGTTTATCTAAAACATTATTTCTTGAAAGTGGGAATGATGGTAGATAAAACCATAGAAAAATTTAATGTTTAGTTATAATAAATTGGTACAGATAAATGGTTCGGTCAATTTGAGGCCCATGTGGAGTCATGAACTCTGCAGTATGTTAATACCATGGAAAGTATTCAATGGAATTTCACCAGGATAAAGCCAGGGATGAGAAACTGTCCCATACTCTGAAAGCCAAAATCAGACAAAATAGGACTTAAATGAGCAAGGATTGCAAAAAGGAAATGCCAAATGTGTTTCAAGGGTTTCCAATCATATCTCTTTGAGCTGGAGTGTACCAGAATGAGCAATTTGTCCTCAGCATTCCAACTGGCAAAAATCATTTCTGATTTATGTTGATTGCAGCCAGTCCAGATTGTCCAAGCTCTGCTGGTCTCCTGACTATTTGGACCACACTGTTTCATTGCCACTCCTGAGGACAAAGTTATCAGAATAAGCAAAAATATCCGCGAACTATGATTCGGAGAGGGAGAGAGAGGGAGAAAGAGAAAGAAGACAGAAAAACAAACTAGGAGAAAAACAAATTGATGGTTGAAAGATGTGGGAGAGAATGACACATATTGGGAAAGGGCAAGGCAATTTATTTCACCCTACAATGTCAAATGCTGTGTTTTCTTTAGGATTTGGGCAGCTTTAGTGTTGCTCACTGAGCACTGTAAAGCCGTCCTTCCCTGCAATAGGTATGGGAATGAATAAATTGAGTTAGATTTGGTTCAGTATCACTAACTTCTATCACAAGTACGTTCCTAAATACACAATGATATTATGGCACAAGATGCACAATGCTAATGGACAATTGTACAGCAAACAGCATTTGGCAGCATCTTTAAAAGTGAGGATAGCACCTTCACTGGTCCTCCTGCACTTCAACCCATTTGGGGATGCATATGTTACAACAGCTGAGTCAAGAAGTGCAATTGGGATTGTACACTTACAGTTAGTTGAAGGAAACAAATGATCAATCACTTGCATGTCATACTCACTGTTGGAAACTGAACATTAATACCCTCTATGTGAGATCAGGAAGTACTATCTCTATGACAGAAAATACGTGCTGTGCACTACTCACTAAAAATTGCCTACATTGTTGGTTATGTCAGGACCTGCTCATTGACCTCTATGTGTCTTCAAATAGTCACACTGTTTTTGTCATTACAGTCTCAAGGTTAAGTAACTCACAGATCCTTGCAACTGATTAGTTAACATGCCTTATTGTGTTAATATCAGACAATATTAGTGATAGTGGCATGATTATCAGTCAGAATCCCAAAGATTGTGAACATTTTTAACTTGAAATTCGAAAATCTGTTTTTTTTTTAAAGAAGGCTGATACAACCAAAAATGGCAGCGAATATAAATTAAGCAGCTATCTGAAGAGAGAGAGAGACCCATGGAAGTAACATCTAGATATGCAAAGGGAAATGTGTAACAACAGTCCTTCAAATGGGGAAAGAGCCCATTTCTGAAGAAGGGTACCGACCCGAAACGTCAACTTTCCTGCTCCTCTGATGCTGCCTGGCCTGCTGTGTTCCTCCAGCTTCACACTGTGTTATCTCAAAACAGACTCAACAGTGATTCTCGAGACTACAAAAACAATGAGGGGGTTAATGCAGCGCCTGCAGAACAAGAAGCCACAGCCCTTCATTCTCACTAGACTCTAGGTTCGAGTTATAAGAAGAGACTGGACTGACTGGGCCTTTTTTGACTGAATCATAAGAAGCTGTAGGGTGACCTAGGTTTATAAAATAATGACGGGCATAGATAAGGTGAATAGTAAATGTCTTTTCCCTAAGATGGAGGAATTTAAAACTTGGGGTCATATTTTTAAGGTGAGAGGAGAAAGGTGAGACGGGACGTGATGGTCTAGTGGTATTATTGCTGGACTTTTAATCCAGAGACCCAGATAACATTCTGGGGATGTGGGTTCAAATCCCACCATGGCAGATGGTGGAATTTGAATTCAATTAAACTCAATTAAAAAATATCTGGAATTAAGAATCCAATGATGACCGTGAATCCATTGTTGATTGTCAGGAAAAACCCATCAGGTTCACTAATGTCCTTTAGGGAAGGAAACTGCCATCCTTACCTGGTCTGGCCTACATATGACTCCAGACCCACAGCAATATGGTTGTCTCTGAACTGCCCTCTGGGCAATAAATGCTGCCTGGTCAGCAACACCCTCGGCCCATTAATGAATAAAGAAGAAAAAAATTTAAAAGAGACCTGAGGGCAACATTTTAATACAAAGAGTGGTTCATATGTGAAATTAAATTCTAGGACCGAAACATCAGCCTTCCTGCTCCTCTGATGCTGCTTGGCCTGCTGTGTTCATCCAGCTCTACACCTTGTTATTTCAGACATTTGGACAGGACAGGTTTAGAAGGATATGGGCCAAACACAGGCAAATAGGACTATTTTAGTTTGGGAAAATTGGTCAGCATTGACATGTTGGACTGAAAGGTCTGTTTCTGTGCTATATGACACTATGCCTCTATGAATAAGATGTCCCAAACTGCAGGCATATGTTATACCTTCCTGTTCAATAATACACAAGGACACGGGTTAAATGCCGGTTTCAACTCCACTGCAGTGTTCTAGTGAGACTGAATGTTTTCATGTGTACTAGTCTGAGTTCATGCATTAGCAAGCTGTGAAGGTCATAGTCAGACAAACAGCCCCTAGTCACCCCTGTAAGAGACTCTTTTATTCTGGATGCTAAAAGACAGCCAGTTAGCAGCCAGACATTAGGACAACAAATGGATTTGCTCTCACTCCAAATCTAGCGGTTCAATCACAGTTGAAAGGAATCAGAACAACTGATCTGCAAAACAAAGGGCATGAAATCAGTCACTCAACTATTGGAGTTAATGCTACTGGTAACCGCAACAATGGCCACAACGTTCAACTATCCAACTCTTTGCAAAGAATTTAGATTCAAAAGTCTTATTTTTATCTTATTTCTAATCTGTTTGTATGCATGCTGCATTTCTAATTCCTCTTACATTTAGTAATTCATAAATTCAATCTTTGGTAACTCAAGAAGGCCTGGTTAAGAGTCTACAACATAGAATGAGCTTCTTCTTAGCCACAACAGCCATCAAGCACCAACCTACTCTAGTCATATTTTCCACCACTTGGCCCATAGCCCTGTATGATATAGCGCTTCAAACATTCATCTAAGTACTTCTTGAATGTTGTAATAGTTACCTTTTCTGCCATTCTTTCAAGCATGAGTTCCAGATACTCACCATCTCCTGGGTTAATTTCTTTTCCTTAAATGTCCTCTAAACCTTTGGCCCCTTACTTTAAATCTACGTGCTCTGGTCATTGAACGCCACCAAAGGGAGAGGTCTCTTTCAATCTACCTTATCAATGCCCCTCATAATTTGGTACACTTTAATCAGGTTTCCTCCTCAGCCTTCTCTGCTCTAAAGAAACCAACCCAGTCTATCTAGAATAAAACAAAGGGCTGCAGATGCTGAGGATCTCAAACAGAAGCAGAAAGTGATGGAGAAAGCCAGCATGTCTGGCAGCATTTGTGGAGAGAAAGCAGAATCAATGTTTTGAGTCCAGCCATGCTTCATCAAAACTAATAGCAGCTAGGAAAAGTAGGTATTAATTCTGAAGAGAAGTTTGGGGGGACGTGAACAGATCGATGGAAATGGAGTCCAGAGAGAGAGAGAGAAATATGAAAGGGACAGGCAGTCAAGGGGTTTGTTGATAGCAGGACTGAAAAGAAACTGAATAAGTGATAATAAGAGCTGAGAGTAGGTGAGAATAGGTAGGCTGTGCTGAAAGCAACCCATATGATCTGATGAGGTAGTAGGAACTGCTGATACTGTAGTCAGAGATAACAAGTTGTTGCCGGGAATGGAGGGTTTGCGTTATAAGGAGAGGCTGGATTGGCTGGGTCTTTTTCACTGGAGCATAGGAAGTTGAGGGGTGTCCTTATAGAGTTTTATAAAATCTTGAGGGCTTTAGGCAAAGTGAATGGCAGGTGTTTATTCTGTAGGGTAGGGGATTTCAAGATTAGGGGGCATATTTTTAAGGTGAGAGATAAAAGATTTAAAAAAGACATAAGCGACAATTTTTTCACACAAACGGTAGTTTGTGTGTGGAATGCACTTCCAGAGGAAGTGATGGATGCGGGTACAGTTAGAATGTTTAAAAGTTATTTGGATAAATGGAGGGGTGGCATGGTACCTCAGTGGTTAGCACTGTTGTCTCACAGCTCCAGGGACCCGGGTTTGATTCCACTCTCGGGCGACTGTCTGTGTGGAGTTTGCACGTTCTCCCCGTGTGTGTGCGGGTTTCCTCCGGATGGTCTGGTTTCCTCCCACAGCCCAAAGATGTGCAGGTTAGGTGGATTGGCCATGCCAAATTGCCCATAGTGTTCAGGGATGTGTAGTTTAGGTGGGTTATAGGGGGATGGGTCTGGGTGGGATGCTCCAAGGTTCGGTGTGGACTTGTGCCGAAGGGCTTGTTTCCACACTGTAAAGATTCTATGATTCTATCCTAAGGTGCAGAGCTGGATGAACACAGCAGGCCAGGCAGCATCAGAGGAGCAGCGGATACAATATTGTATCCTGATGTGGCCTTCTCTACATCGGGGAAACCAAGCAGAGGCTTGGAGACTGCTTTGTGGAGCACCTACGCTTGGTTCGTGACAAACGACAACACCTCCCAGTCGCGAACCACTTCAACTCCCCCTCCCACTCCTTGGACGACATGTCCATCCTGGGCCTCCTCCAGTGCCACAACGATGCCACCCAAAGGCTGGAGGAACAGCACCTCATATTCCGCCTGGGAACCCCGCAGCCCAATGGTGTCAATGTGGACTTTACAAGCTTCAAAATCTCCCCACCCCTGACCTCATCCCATGACCAGCTCGTCTCGTCACCGCCTCCTTGACCTGTCCGTCTTTTCTCCCACCTACCTGCCCCTCCCTCCTCACTGACCAACCCCCATCCCAACTCCCTACCTACACTCACCTGTACTGGCTTCATCCCTGCCTCTTTGACCTGTCCGTCTTCTCTCCACGTATCTACTCCTCTATCCAATTTCTATCATCGTCTTCCCCTCTCTCTATTTATTTCAGAGCCCTCTCCCCTCCCCCATTTGTGAAGAAGGGTCCAGACCCAAAACGTCAGTTTTCCTGCTCCTCTGATGCTGCCTGGCCTGCTATGTTCATCCAGCTCTACACCTTGTAATCCCATATGATCTGATGATAGGCCGAGAGTGAGTGAGAATGGGTTATGTGCTAAAAACAACCCATGTCACGTCAAGACCGTGTGTGAGGATTTGTTAAAAACAAAGGATTGATTCAGGCTGCAAAGTTAGTAGACTTGATGTTGCGCCCTGGTCCCAGTCTTTCTTAATCTCTCTTCATAACTGAATCGCTCCAGCCCTGGCAACATCCTGGTGAATCTCTTCTGCACCCTCTCTAGTGTAATCACTTCCTTGCTAAAGAGTGGGAATCAGAACAGCACACAGTACTCCAGCTATGCTTAACTAGCATCTTATACAGCTCCAGCTTACTCTCCCTGCACTTGTATTCAAAGTTGTAGTTAATAAAAGCAAGTATCCTACATGCCTTCTTAACTACCTTTGCCACCTGTCCTGTTGGCAACTGTTATATAATGTTTTCCAATACTTGCTATAGACTTTTCTGGCCAATTGGGAACATCAGATTCAGATTTTAGGTTCCTTGTTACAATGAGACTTGTTGAGTTTATGTCACAGGTTTGAAAGCAGTGAGTACAATGTATTGTACGTGATTGTTTGAGGCCTCATTGTTATCTGCAGTGTTTGACAACTACTGCCTTTCAAATGAAGTACACAATGAAGGCAGATTCAGTGGCACTATTTACCCAGAAGGCTCCAGGGCGAGTAGCTAATTGACCCGGAAGGCACTCTATGCAGAAGAAGCAGTTCAATTAGAAATGAAACTAGACAGCTGGTAACAGCCATTCTGTGAGTTATAACGAACACTGACAAGATGTGTTAATAGCTACCAGCTCTGATTTATCAGTCAAGTCCTTATGCTGTCAAGTTTCTTAATTGCGGACAGGAAATTGGAACCGTGATGTTAGTGTGGTTAAAAACGAGATGCAAATGCATCGAGAAAAGTTTCTTGCCTTGTGGAATTCTGAACTCACCAAATAAAGCATAAGACATAATTGTGCAAGTTTTTCTGGATGTTGAGTGTCTGATTTTTGACTATTGGTTGCCATCATTTTTATTACCTCATTGAGGAGAATATTCAGCCCAGAGTTTTGCTTTTACAAATAAGTTCCAAAAAGGATATTATACTCAAAATGTGATCCCTGTTTCAGATGTTTTCATGTATTACTGTAAATGCAAAGGAAAATTAGTCAGGGTTGTCAATATGGTACCTGAGCATATGGCAAAAACTTCTGCCAAAGTTAAGAATAACACAGAATGTTTCCCTCAAAAAAAAACAAAACTACATTTAGTTTTTAACATAACATCTTAATTTCGTACTATGATTAAATACAACCTGAACCTCCTTGAATTGTAACAAAACCTGATATTGATTGGGAAAACCATGGACAAATTCTCTCCTTACAATTTGATGTAAATGAGATACTTTCCAAACCAAGTTTGAAAGGACTTAAATAAATTAATCCCCGTTAACATGTAATATTTATTCTATGGTGTCGAGGGACACTAATGAGAAGACTTATAAAGAATGAAAAGTTGTCATTGGGAAATAAGAGTAGGTTGCAGAAAACAGCAATAACAATGACAAAAACTTACATTTGAACAGCGCCTGCAATGTAGTAACACATCCCAAAGAATTTCACAAAAATGTTAGCAGTCAAAATTTTACATCAAATTACAGAAGCCAATATCAGAACTGAAGACTTGGTCAAATGCTTTGGTTTTGAACAGCATTTTAAAGGATGCGAGGAAGTGGAGAGTGATGGAAAGAGAAGCTTAGGACTTGTGAAAGTTACAGAAATAGCGTTGAGATACAGACAGGTCAAGATAATGTTATAGGGATTAAGTAGAACTGACGATGCACCAGTTTTGCAATTGGAAACCCATCTCAGGTTCAAGCACACCACATAGGTTCAGAATGGTATGCCTCTGGGCCAGAAGTACCAAGCAGAGGTATGGAAACTATGACCTGTGCACAAGGCTTGTAGCAGGAACCAAAGAGCAACTCCGCAGGAAGTGGATGTTGTATGGGTATGCCAGCTCATTATACTGTATGAGCTGTTGCTCATGATGAAGGTTGCTGCCATCATCCTGTTTAAGTGTTGGAAGCAACAGCACTGCTCGGTCTCGTGTGGTAAAGGAAAACATTTCCTTGTTGTGGTTAACAAGGTACACATTAATGCATGTTAGCAGATAATTACAGGTTACATTGAAATGATAGATATTGGTACAGACACAAAAAAGATCCAGATATCCTTTGAAATGCTAAACTGTTCAACCAATGGGTCCACATCAGAAGCTCTTGTGGGCCAGATATGCCCCACAAGCTGTAGTTTGTCCAGCCCTGGTCTACACAGACACAACTTATTATCCTCATCAGGTTATTAATGTCAATGCTGCTTCATCAAGACCATCCTTCCAACTCAAGGTCAGAAGTGGAATGTTCACTATTGATTGTTAAATGTTCAGTTCCATTCATGACTTCTCCAATATTGATACATGCAAATGTAGCAAGACCTGGACAATATCCAGGCTTGGTTCATAAGTGACAAGTAACATTTGTACCAAAAAATTGTCAGGCAATGACTATCAAAAGAAAATTTGACTATCTCTTCTTGACATTCAATGGCATTACCATAACAGAATCCCTGAGTTTCAACATCCACTGACGAAACTGAACTGGACTGGCCTTATAAAAGATACGGAGCTTGCAAATTAACTTTATTTCTAAGTTAATCACAATTAGAGACTGAGTTGAGAGAACCAACATAATGGCCTTTGAGTCCTCTTAGCTACTGGAGCACTCAGGATATGAATATGATTTCACAAGTTTCATAGAACTTATTACATTTATCACAATAGGTGCAAAATAATGATAGATAATAACGCAGTGCACCAGTCAGTTTGCTTCAGAATATCCGCTTGCGAATTCTAGATGACATGGTGACAAACTGAGATAACAAATTACACATATAAGATAAAAAATCACACATTCAATCAACAAATAGCTACAAAACTATATGTGGAACCTAATTCCAAAGTAGGCCTGCTAAAAACCATAACTCAAAAGTAATTATCTACTGAAAGTACTAAAATAAATAAAATGCAGCATGTCCTGCACCAGTTCCTGAAGGCAGCCCAAAACCATCTTTTCAATAAGTACCAGACCCACCAGCAACTTCCACATCCTCTGAAAGAACTTTTAAAAAAGAGAAATCATCCCTATGCATCACAAAATTATTGAGGCCCAGCTCTTGGAGCCTACTGCATCCTCAGTACCCTTTCGAAATCCTCTATGTTCTACTCCATATGAGGAAACCAAAGACAGTATTCTGAGGCCTAAGCAGGATTGAATTGACCTATAAATGTACCCGAGCATGCTATGCTTTCAATCTATTGACCCACAGCAGTAGTTGTGAACCTTTAGAGATTTATGCACCAGAATGTTTGTGTTTCCTTTGATCTGTACTGGCTTGAGTAGTTTTCCCTGAAGGTTATGTTCAATATTTGTCCTGCCCATATGCAGAACCCTGGACTTAAGAACATTCAATTCATACAGCTGATAATGTAGTCTTGTCTTCCTTCAGCACCATGTACCAATGAGAATAGAAATAGACGAATAAAGCAGGTAAGTGCCTGGTGAAGAAGCTGTAACACATGGTACACTACAATTCTGCACTCAAGTAATTACAAACACAGGCTCCTCATTCAGTTCCTTCTTGAGGAGGCCACACAACATAACATGAGGCAAAGACACAGGGAGGTGTTTTGGTAAGGTATCTTGTTATCTAATGGAATTGTCTGCCCATCTGCTCTGCTGCAAAGTGTAAAGACCATGTAGTTTTATTTTTCCGTATTTTTAGTTGAGGACTGAAATAGGAAAATAATTGTTTTAATACCAAGGATTACTGCATGTTTTTTTTTAAAGCAAGTAATTTGATGCTGGTGTACATACTATTTACACTGCTGCTTGTTCAAGAAGAAACAGGAGAAGGTACAGATGAGTTGAGCCAAGGGTACGTACAAATGGAAATTCAGCCAGCAACATGTAGCTAATTGGCCATTGAATGAGTGGCAAATTATCAATGACAAAGGCTTCATACCTGCAAACAACTATATGATCTGTTCCCAGATATCTGGATGGATTGGGCCTGTGAACGAAATAACGAGAAGCCATCAGATCTCCACAGGCTCAGAAGCTGTCCCTGTCCTCTGAGGTTAAACCTACTTTAAGCCTGAAGAAAAGCCTGTTTAATTTTCATTCTGCAAGCTGAAATTTATAGTGAATAAGTCAGAGATCTTTCATAAATGTGAACCAGTCACCCTGTGCCTCCTATAAATCAGTGAAAGCATCGGGGTAAAGGAAAAGCCAAAAGTCATCTCAGCAGATCTTGTGAACAGGGACCATTGAACTGCTTTCCCAGTTTTGCCCATCATCTACAACACCCTTTTTTTTTCCTAACTATATATGTATGGAGGAGGAGCTTATACAGTATTAGAATTTTTACTAGTAGAGTTAAATTCCAAAGGTTCATAATTATTTACTTGTAGCTAGACTCTGTTTATTCGTAATTTTCAACGTGATCCATGCTTTCTGTCAGTTTGAATCTGAAAGGTGGGTAAATTTAGAGAATTCTGCATACTTTTGAAAATCTTCAACTTTTGTGTGTTTTATTAAGCATTTTGAAAAGTTGAATCAACTCAGCTAGTTTTGTTTCTCCATTTTTCTCAGTTCTTCGCCTGAGGATATTGATTCTTGCTGACATTTGGTACCATGAATGCTGGCAATCATTCAGCACATTTCCAAGCTGCCACAACAGCTAGTCCATGTCTTATCCAGAACTGATGCACAATTTCAAGCTGTTGTAACAACCATTTCTTTCTTCTCTGCCCCTCTAATAATATCGAGGAGAGCAGCCATACCACTAGCCATTATTTCTACTTCAGACCAGTTAGCAGCAGAAGCCTGTCGTTGAACCTGGCAACTTCAGGTTTCTATTGGCAGTAGTGACAAACCGAAAGGTGTCTTTACCCATCAGAATGGTTATATATCCTAAAATCCTTTATAAAGGGTTTTACATCTATATGTCCATGCAGGCAACCTTTTAGAATATGGAGTCTTTATTGCCAAATTGTAATGGTACCAGGGATGAGGAACTTAATTTAAGGAGTTAAGGACATTGAGAAAGGCTAGGTTGTTCTCCTTAGAGCAAAGATGTTAATAGCAAGAGATAGTAGGCATTGCAGATGCTGGAGAATCTGAGATAACAAGGTGTAGAGCTGGATGAACACAGCAGGCCAAGCAGCATCAGAGGAGCAGGAAGGCTGACGTTTCGGGCCTAGACCCTTCTTCAGAAAATG